CTAGGACCCTGAAACGCAAGGAAACTTGCCCACAGTCAAAGACAAGGGCAGCAGGAGATGCTGGTGGATGCTGCAAGGAGGAGGCTGCTTGATCCGTGGGCAATAATGCAGAGCTCCAGAGAGGAGATGCAGATTCAGAACTAGAACTTGCATCTCCTACTCACAAGTTTTCTGTTGCTCATTGAACTGGCCTCTTTTGAGTCCATCAGATCAAGGCAGTGCCATGTCCTGCTGGTGTGGTATCACCAGCTGCAAGGCCTCACTGGGGCCCCAGATCAAGGCTGGGTCTTGAGGCCATTTGGTGAAGCATACTGATGTGGCTCTGTCAGTGGACTGAGCCAAAGAAGTGGCTGCCCAAAAAAGTGGGTCCCTTGCTGGGGGCAGGGGAAGGCAAAGAACTTGGCCATGGAGCTCCAGATGGGGAGCACATGGCCCTGAAATGATGCCTTCAGCTACACAGGGTCATGCCTGCAAGAGGATGCAAGGGTGACTCCTAATAGCATGGGTGACCCTTAGCAGCAAGACAACCTTAATAGCAAGGATAATCTCTAACAACACCAGGGATCCCTTACAGCAGGGAGCCCCAAAGGCCACCAGGACTCTCTTCAGCTCTCACTGCCCACAGACCCTGATGTGTGATCTGCTGTAACACAAACGACCTAGACAGATGCGAGCATCCCTAGCTATGGACAACAGGTGCTCTTTGCTTCGTGGGGAGACACCCAGTCTGGCTGGACTCCAGCAGGGTCCCCCGCTTCCTTTGGCTCTCTACCTTTCTCTCCCCCGCCATCCCACTCTGTTGCTCCTTGTACTGGGGAAACAAGCATTTTGTTCCAGCTCGGTGCCAGCTGCTTGGGGGACAGTTGAAAAATGCTGAAACACTGGTGGCACTGAAGTGGTCAGGGAAGGGTTTGGGTGGCTGAAGCTCATCCTTGCCTTTCACTCAGAGAGAGGAGCTTTCTAATCAGCTGTCACCAAACAACCCAGAGAGGCCCTGGGGTTACCGACTCCATGTCACAAACACCTCCTGGTGGGACCCGTGCCCGGGGAGGTCTGGTGCAGCACTAGGGTTACTCCAGAAGCATATAGTCCAGAGCACATGGCCTCAGTCGATGGCCACTGTCAGCAAACCAGCGGGAGAGGAGGTCTCACACTACCCACAGATCACATGGTCCACGGGGCTATACTCACAACCTGAGTGTTTGGCCCCCGAGTGCTCAAACAGATGGATCCAGGCTCACACTGCCATGGAAAGACAGACACACACCCATGGGATGCACACTGACACACTCTTGTGCACAGACACACTGTATGCATACAGGGACAGACACACGTTTGATCTTGAGTCCCACTGCCCAGACACACCCTTGATACAGCTGGGTCCTCAGCTGCCCTCACGTGCAGTCCCTCCTGCCCTGATATACACGCACACATGCACTCTCTCTCACACACACACACACATATACACACACTAACATCCTTCACCCCTCCTGACACAACTGTGCCATGTTGTGGGGGTCTTAGGCCCTTCAGGGTGGTGGGAGGGGGCCAGGGAAGGACCCACAGTAGAGGATAATGGTGAGCTTGAGACCCCCTACATCATGTGGCTGCAGCCAAGATTAACTGGATCCAAAGCATCCTGCCTGCAGCCTGGCATCTGCATGGATGTATTAAACGCCAGTGGAGTTGAAAGGGAGGGGAGCCTGTGATTTCTGAGAGCGAAGCCAGCATCTCACAGACCTGGGCCTGAGGGGCATCTGGTTGCCACTGAGCTTGCTGTTTGAGTCAGGGCTCATCCACACTGCTTTGGGGTTCCCACCTCACTGCCCTAAGTCTTTAACTCAAATACCAGCTCTCCTCCCTTCCCTGGCATTGTGCGGCACCATACATCATCCTCTGGTGGCCTGATAAGATTTCCCCCTGGCACCCACGCCTCAGGAAAGGAGACTGCTAGTGACATCTGGTGTGACTGTTCCTTGTATGAGGAGTGGCGGGCTGTCCCATACAGAGCATGCACATGCCAGGCCTAGCCCCCATGCACCACGCAGCCTCAAACATGGAGGCGATCGGAGGTGGCCCCACTGTCTTCCAGGTGTTCGCTTGGCAGTAGACAGGAGAGTGCCCGAGTAGCCTGAGCCCCTGCTCCTCATTTACATGTGGAGAAACTGAGGCCTGGAAGGAACACACAGCAGGGCAGCGGCATCCTAGCCGCCCCTACCATTGGAGCCTTTCTCCCTAGGTTGGAGCCACACACAGGGAAAGATCAGCGAGCGCGGGGTGGTGTCAGCCTGCAGCAGGATCTAGGAGTCAGCAACCAAAATCAAACGTCCTTCATCTGGTTGAGCACTACAGTGAACAGTATCAGGCTACCAGGTGCTGGGTGGTGTGGAAATAATCTTATGGCTAAAATTTTCAAATATTATTCATAAGTACCCCCCACCTTTCTGCTCAGGGAGTAATTCCCTATCCTTTGCTACGCACATAAATATTAATATGTGTGTGCTAAAAAGTGTTTTTATACTGTAACTACACCCAGATCCAATGTAGACAGAGGCATATGGCTCTTGCAACCTGCTTTATCTTTTCTGAGGGCTAACATTTTGTTTCTCAGCTGAGCCTTTGTAAGTTTTTGTAAACAGGGAGTCCCTTAGCTTTGTCACATAACTGCCTCTTTGTAAGTTCTGTATCTCTCTCTGCGGAACTGCAGTTTGCAGAAATCTTGAAGGGTTTTCAGGAAACTGGAATGTGCTAATGTGCCTAAAGTGTTTGGCAGACTGACTAGCACATAGTGGGGACTTAAGAGTGTCGCCTATCTGGTGTTCTTGGTTTTGATCCACGCAGTGTCAATAGTGCCCCTTGTTTTAGGTGAGGAATGGCTTCTGGCAAAGTACACTGAACTCAGGATCTAGGAAATAACTGGGCCCAGTTTTAAATATATATTGTGAGACTTTTAGTAAATTTGACAGGGGCCACTTTTTATTTTTTATTTGTATGTACTACATAAAAACACTTGTGCATTGTAGAAAGAATTAGAAAGGAGTTTTATAAGAAGATGGAAAAAACCTTATAATCCTACTGGATCAATCAGAGTTCACTGGGGAAGCAGAACCAATGGCCAAGTACAGATACACATACATATGAAGAGATCTATTTTTAAGGAACTGGATGGCATAACTACGAGAGCCAGCAAGTCCAAAATTGATAGACCAGACCAGCAGTCTGGAGACTCAGGCAGGAGTTAACACTGCAGTCTTGAAACATAATTCCTTCCTCAGCAGGAAGCCTCAGCTTCTCTTCTTAAGGCCATCCACTGATTAGATAAGGCCCACCCACATCATCAAGAGTAATTTTCCTTACTTATAGCCAAATAATTGTAGGTGTTGACCCCATATGTAAAATACTATCATAGAAATAACTAGCTTAATCTTTGACCAAACAACTGGATGCTATGTGCTAGCCATATTGACAGAAAATATGATCCACTATACCTGCTATCCAGAAGTACCATGGTATTAACATGTTATTTGCCTCTGCATAGATTTCTATCACTGAGTAATTTTTTCTTTTGATACTACAAATCGAACTCGGGACCTTGTGCTTTCAAGCAAGCGCTGTGCTGCTGAGCTATATATATATCCCCGGCCCTCACTGGGTAATTTTTAAAGAAAGTTGTTATTTTATGCTATGTGGAGCCTTGTATTCTTGGGTTGTATTTAACATTGTCTCTTGAACACAGCTTCATCTGGCTAAAATAAGCCTTGGCACCCTTCCTTCCGATGGAGGTGCAGAATTCCATTTGTGACGCCTTCATTCTGTGCTTACTTCGCCCGGCCCCTTGTTCTTGGACACCTGCCTGTGTTGTTTCCAGCCTTTCACTTAGTAATTTCAAAGAAAGCTGCAGTGCACATCCTTCCTGATGTAGCTTTGTCCCCATCCGCGGTGGACGCCCTCCAGTCCCCGATCTGCTGTGGGCGCCCACCAGGTCCCTTTACTGCAGTGACTACCGCTGACAATAGCTCACAGCTGGGAAAAGCAGTCATTGGACCAACAACAGCCAGCAGGCTGTCCCAGGAAGAAAGATTCCAGCAAGGGGGTGGAGGCAGCGTGGGGCCAATGAGGGACTGCCACGAGGGAAGGGCAGGCAGGCCACGGCCAGGCCTCTTTCTTTAGGGCGGTCAGTGCTGAGGCTCACCACGCCCTCCCGAGCTACCCGCGGGGTCAGGCTGCAGGTGGCTGCAGCTGAGGCTCCTCCACCTCGCCAGGAGCAGCCTCCAATAACACACCCGCCGAGACTCTGCCTCCACTGTCCGGCTCAGGCAGCACCGCTGTGGTGTTAAAGGCTGACTCCTACTGAAGACAGCACAGCTTCCACATTTCCCTTGTGCCCTGGCTGTTACCCTGTGGGGTGGCCCCGCGCCATATCACCGCTCACGGCCTGGAAGGGCTGGCGCCTGTGTAGGTGGAGACCTCTGAGGCCCAGCACTTCTCCCCGTAAGCCCAGGATGAGGAGTGGGGAGAGAGACCCTGGTACCGGAAAGGAAGGCAAGGACATTCCTGGGCCTTTTGCTTCCCTTAATGCTCAAATGCTCGTCCATCTCCTGGTGAGACTGAAAATCCTCTGCGGGATATGTCATTTCCCCAATGGGCTTTGCCCCAACATTGGGAATGAGGAAGTGAGGCACAGGAATGCTGCCAGTTTTAGGAAAGAGAATAGTGTGGTCCTGGGAGAAGTCATCTCAGGGACCTGGATTGTCCACAGAGTTATCGGGGTTGAGGAGAACATTCTTCAAGTTACTGAGCTCATGGGCTATGAACAGACCTTTTCAAGAACAAAAAATGCTGCTGTTTTTCTGTCTCTGCTTTAGCTTGCTGTGTGACCTTGGGGAAGACTCTGGCCTTCTCTGAGCTTCAGCTCCCTACGGCTTTTTTCCAAAGTGGTTCTCCCATCTAAGTCTGACTCCTTCTACCTGTGATGGTTCTTTCTCCCTCTGGTTCTTCAGATGGAAGTGCGGTATTCCGAGGCTGTTTCCGCAGGCCCGACAACCTCTCCCTGGCCTTGCCTGTGACAGCCGCCATGCCAAACATGTCTGTGGACAAGTGTGTAGACTTCTGCACGGAGAAGGTGAGCGCAGGGCCCCGCTCGCAGCACTACAGGGTAGTGGGGCAGGGCTGAAGGAGCAGAATGCCATCGGGAGAAGTTACAGTCAGGATGGAGGAAGCCCCAGACGCAGATCTGGGACATGCGAGAGGCACGTGGCCATTGCATGTGGTTCCCGTGGGCGGAGGGCAGAGTCTGTCCCTTGGAGGGAGTGTGTGCTGATAATGCTCAGGGATGAGGGCAGTGTTTGAACTGGGTGTAGACACACAAGGAGAAGACTGGCAGGTCAAAGCAAGGCCACTCCCATGCTGGGATACAGTGAGCCCGCCGTCACAGCAGGTGTGCAAGCAGAGGCAAGGCAGGGCTGGCATCCACAACTCTGGGCACTGGGTGGCAGTTGGATTGGACAATCTACAGATCCCTCCTCAGCTTCAGACCTTTGGTGCCTGACCGTTCATCCATCCTCCCTAGCCAGACTGCGACAGATCAAGGGAGAAAGCTCTGTTTATATGCTTTGTGCTACCCGTGTCTGGCCTAGAGCTGAGCATATAACCGGCAATCAGTGATGTCTAAGGAGCTCCAGCCTTCCTTTCAAAGGAGCTAATTACATGAGTGTGCAGAGAACCATCCCTCCTTCCCTGCCAAAGGGTTCTTTCATTCATTTACTCTCAAATATTGAGTAAGGACCTACTGTATGCCAGGCCCCATGGAGAGCGCTGGGGATGCACATGAACAAGCTCTGGTGTCCGTCCATCAGGCTGCTGGTATTTACTGAGGACCGGAGCCCTCCTCCGGGTACTCAGACCTCACCCGAACTCCTGAGCCCCTTCTGCTCTGCCTGATCCTGCTGGGCCGTTTCTCTCCATGCCTCCTCAGGCACGAAGCCTCTCTCAGAGGGCTGAGAGGCTGCCCCAGCACAGAGGCAGAATGTGCTCAGGACATCCTCCCCGCAGCTCCCAGGGGCCACAGTCTTACCACAAACCCATGAGGTTGAGATGTTCACCCTCATTTCACAGGTGAAAAAAACAACACTCAGGCATGAAGCTCCTTGCCCAGGCTCACAGCACGAGTGAGCACAGAGCTGGGGTTGACACTAGCGGCTGACTCCAAACCCTCGCCCTAGCTTCCAAGCTACCCTGGAGAGCCCACAGGCTGTAAGAGCATTCCAGAGTGTCTGGGATGCGTCTGGTCTCTAGGCGTTCCCCAAGTGCTCCCTGTGTCCTAAGGCATCCTGGGAGGTGAGGGTGAACTCCATGAGACTACAGGAAGCTTAGTCTCACTTGGTCCAGCCTTCCCTGCCCGGCAGGAATCTGCACAGTGTTCCCTCTAGGCGGACATTCCTCTCTCTCTGGGTGCCTGGAGAAGCCTACAGATCAGCCAGAGCAGGGAGACCAAGCACAGGTGACCAAGAGGCCATGTCGCCAGCTGGCAGGACCGGTCAGGCTGCACAGGTGAATGGTGGATGGGAAGGCCCCTCCTCCTATCTTCTTGGATCTCCTTGGGGCCCAAAGAGGAAAACTGAGGGGACTGGGTGGGTGGAGATAGAGTCGCCGAGTGATGAGGGTCTAAGGTGACCAAGGAGGCTCCAGTGTGCGTCACTAGCTGGAAAACATCATCACCCATGGCCCAAGTAGACCTGCCTCCATATCAGCACCTCTCCCTCTGCTCCTCAGCCAGACACCACAGTTCCTTTTTAGTACCTGTTAGAAAGAAGCCAAACCTACGGTGACAGCTCGCTGGATGCAGCCTGTCGGCGTGACTTTGGCGTGGTACTGAGTTCTTCCTGGACTGGCTCCTGGGGAAACTCCAGGCTGTGGGTCTGGTTTAGAAGCACAGTGGACATGGACAGTCACTTGCCCTCCACATGTCAGGTCCACCCTGCTCCCGCTCAGCTGTCCCATAGGAAAAGTGAAGCAATCGGAAGCAGCTCTTTCCACAGAGCCTCTGGCTAAGCATCCCAGTCAGCATCCTTTGTGGCTCAACAGGACCGGGTCAGACAGTCTTTCCCAAAATGCAGGCTGCGTGTCAGCATCGAGCAAGGAGCTGTGTACTGTGGCATATTGCACGACACAGAGAGAAGCATTTCTTTCTCAGATCTCTTTCAAGTCCTCCGGGAGCAAGCTGCATCTCGAGGCTCAAGTGTCTTTCATACGTCCCTCAACTAATCTCTCTTTTGCAGGAAAAATGGAGCTGACCCCAGGTTCGGCATCTTGGCAGGCAAGAGTGCCTAGGTAGAATGTAATTACAGTTCCTCATCCGTATCTGAGGGACATGCGCACCGGCTGCCCTGCAGATACCAAAGTCCAAGAATGCTCAAGTCCTTTATATAAAGTGGCACGGTATTTGCACAGAACCTATGCACATCCTCCTGAGTACTTTAAATCGGCCTTAGATAATTTATAACACCCAATACAATGCGAATGCTATGGAAACAGTTGCTCCGTGCTATTGTTTAGGGAAAATGGCAAAGAAAAGAAGGTCTAAACACGTTCAGTACCGATGCATATTTTCCAAATATTTTCAATCCATGGTTGGTTGGATCTGTGGGTGTGGAACCTACAGATTGTTTTGTTCCCATGGCATTTGGTATTTGCATTTAGCGTAGGGAAACATGCACCAGAGCTACGTGTCCCCGAGCACTTCCTGTAGTAATTAGTGATGTGAAATTTCCTCTGAAGTGTCAGTTTTAAAAACTGAGTTGACTCAAGCCAGGTGTGGTGGCACATGTCTGCAATCTCAGCACTCTAGGAGGAAGAGGCAGGACGATTTCAAGCTCCGAGCTTAGCCTGGGCAACTTAGCAATTCAGCAAGATCCTGTCCCCAAAGTGAAACTTTTTAAAAAGAACTGACTTTGAGGAGTCAAATAAGTAGGAAGCAGAGGTGCACAGACGGACGGAATCACCAAGGACAGGCTCCCTGACGAAGTCTGGAGACTCTCCAGTCGAGAGAGTGACGGGGAGGGAGGTTGTATGCAGATCCTGCCCTAGTCCGCAGTCCAGGGCCGTGCAGGGACTGTGACTCTCTTCCTCTGCTTCTTCCTCTCCCACTCCATCCCCAGGAGTACCCGTTGGCGGCTCTCGCGGGCACCGCCTGCCACTGTGGGTTTCCCACCACACGATTCCCCCTCCACGAGAGAGAAGACGAACAGCTCTGCGCCCAGAAGTGCAGCGCGGAGGAGTTTGAGAGCTGTGGGACCCCCAGCTACTTCATTGTGTACCAGACACAGGTCCAAGGTGAGCCAGGGGCCTCCCGGTGTCCTCTCTGCCACGAGCATCCTGGCCATCCGGGCCAGAGGACAGGGCTGGGGAACTTGGCCAGGCTTCGAGCTGTGGCGGACAGCAGAGGAAGTGCTCAGGGAGCTTCTAAGAAACCTATCTCTGTCCACCATCACTAAAGACCTTGGGTGGCTCGTTTCTCATAGTAAAAGCAGTGAGATTGGGTGGGGAGAGAGACCTGGGTCTCCCACTGGTTCCAAGCCAGACCTGAGATCGCGGGCAGGCCATTCCCCTCCGCAGGCCTCAGTTGGGGGTCTTGCCTGAAGCCATACTGTTTATAAAACCTTTCTCCTGACCGAAGCATCATGAATGGTGGCCGGCACTTGGGTGAGGGTGGCAGGCATTGCTCGCTGGGACACTCAGCCCCAAAGGATCACCCCAGTGTCTGAACACACTGACCGCACACTCTGAGCCAGTCTTATGGCAACCTTCATCTCGTTTAGAGATGTGAAGTCCACGGGAAAGTGATGCTGTAGGCAACGTCATCCTCACTTTACACATGAGAGAACCAAGACCAGAGGGCTGCAGAACTGGCCACAAGTTACACTTCCGTGAATGCAGTTTGCTTTCAGGTCTCTGACTCCAAAAAGCCTACTAGAAACCTCTGCCCCTGGTGTGCAGAACACGCCCCACACCCTCTGAAGCCTGAACGGCCAACAACACACTTTTGGGCCGCACATTCTTCCTTCTCATCTTCCTGTAACCAGGCCACCCCGTACAGATAGGCAGGCTGGGCACTGTACCGGAATGGCCGTCAAGAAAAATGATGCCAGCAAGGTGGCCCATGCCGTCACACCGTGCATTCCAGATGGGAGCACATCTGCCCAGAGGAAAAGGCATTTGCCCTGTTCTGATTTGCACAAGAGCCCTGAAGAGCTTGAGGCAGCCCCACTGAAACCCATCCCGTTTGGCGTGGTGGGTACTGGTGCTGCCCAGCCATGGCTACTTCCATGGCAGCTAAAGTCCTGCGGACAGCCTCCTGAGCCAGTGGCTCTTTTGGCCCCATTTATGCTCGGGTGAGGAGGGACGAGCGCTGTTAGTTTTCCGGGCCGCATCAGTTCATCTGGGTAGAACCATGGGGCCACAGCCAGAAGGCGGGCATAACAGATTAATTATGCTGTGACCATGAGTGGCTCTCAAGTGGCCTGCGTGGATGCTGGAGTGTTTTCAACAGCGGAGAAACAGGCTCGTGGATGAGTTTGCTCACTCTCTGTGCCCTGGCCCAGGCCATCCCTGCTCTTCAGTTTTTCCACGTCACCCTGGCACACACAAGGTTAGGGTGTCATGTGGCTTATCAGGCTGCCAAGCACCTGGTCCACCTGGGAGTCCGGCTGCCATTCATTGAGAACCTACTGCACGCTAAGCCCTGATCTTCCTGCGGGGAACCAAATAGTTATTAGACATTCATTGTGCACCGAGCGTTGTCGAAGCTCTTTGTCCAGCCACACTCGTCTAATCTCAATGCTCCAAAGTCATAGGTGCCGCGGTTACCATTTTACAAAGTGAAGTGACTTAGTGCTTAGGAAGCGAGGAGCTTGGCCAGAGGCGCACAGCTGGGGCAGGGCAGAGTTGGGATTCAAACCCAGGCAGGCTAAGTCAAGCCCAGATCCCAAGACTGTGTTCTCATCCACCGTTTCTCAGTGGACACTGTGAATACTTCACATTTACTGTGCTCTTTATCCTACGAGGTTTATTAGCTCTGTTCTATAAATGAGGACACTAAGACTCGGAGAGGTGCAAGGCATTGTTCAGTGTCCTGAGGGTCCAGGATGGAAGCCCAGGTGTCAGAGTTGAAAGCTGTGGAGAACCACCTGGGCAACTCTCCTTGAAGGAGGAGCAATTGCCTCCATGTTGGCTGAGCCTGACCCTATTTCCATGTATTGATATATGCAGAGCTGGCTGGGACCCTTTCCTTATCCCTTCAGTTGGCTTTAAGCAATGCATATCGGTCCGGCCAAGGTGCTGATGGTAGTCTATGAAGATGGCAGGCATGTTCCCCCGGGCCCCTGTTATTCCATGAGTGAGCCGGGATGAGGCAGGACGTGTGAGCCAATGCTCCACGCTGTCGGCTGGGATAGAACCTTGAGATAGAGGCTATGACTTCCTGGGGCTTAAAACAGCTCTTACACATCAGAGCTGAAGCACTGACCCCAAAACATTAGATACTCTCTCAATTGTGTTATGCAGGTTACTCTTGCTGCATATCCTTCTCTGTGCATATGGCAGAGGTGATTTCAGGCCTCCTACCTCACCCAGCTCATGGCACTCACCTACTTCCCAAGATTCTCACAGTCACTCATCCTCAAGCCACTCCCTTCTTCACAAATGAATAAAATCTGGCTTTGGTGCTGGGTACAGGCCATTGCTCCAGATAGCCATCCTTGTGGCCGGATTCAAGACCCCTTTGACTCCTTACCATTTTAGATCTATTACTGTGTCTTTATTTATGCCACGGGTTGCACTGGAAGTGGTAGGTTGGAATTAATTCATTACGATTCCAATAACTTTTCCTTGATATTACAAATATAAACCTCCTGGATCACGACAAGGACTGGGAGGGCTCTCAAAAAAGCATTTATAATATGGTCAGAAGCCTTTGCTGTGATTTCTGGGGCTTAAAACCCAAATAAACTTTCTTTTTTTAGCACTGAGAGCAACAGCCTTTATCTCAGCATTCTCAAATAATTCTCCCAGGAATTACTTGAGTGAAGAATTCTGTTTTCAGGGGAGATTAAAAAGCTGGTTCCCCACCCGCACACCAAACCCTTCATTATCAGAAATTGTCAAGCCTCAGAAAAATCAAGACTTACACAGGGAACATCCAGATGCTCTTTCACAGGTTTTTATATTTGTTAACTTTTTGCCACATTGCTTCATGGTGTATCTCTCCCTCTCTCCATCCCTTGATCCTTATTTCTCTGGTGCATTTTGCAGTTGCAAAGACCACTGTACTTCAGTAATGCAGTGCTTGCTTGGGAGTTTTTGAAGTCACATTTCCATGGAGTGAGACACAGAAATTTTAAGTGGACTCATCAACAACCTCTTGGCAACCCACACCCCTATCCAAAAATAGTAGAACATGGTCATTCTCTAGATGGAGTGCCACTATCCAGAATCCTTTTTTGGGTGTCTCTGTGAAAACCACGCACAGAGGCCATACGGGGGTTCTTTGGTATTTCCTCCCCTGAATCCAGAACATGGTCAGCACCCTGCAAGAAGAGGGCGGAGCCTCTGGCTGGTAGTAACAATGCTAAGAGCTCCAATTGGTGGGTGGTGGAGTTTTACAGTGCGTGAGTCCCAGGCTAATGGGCCAAGTTCACTCTCCAGTTTAACCCTCGGCCACCACTATTACTTAGTAGTCCCATTTTATAGGTGAGGAAATCAAGACTCAGATAAATCATTGTTTCAAGGTCATCCGGCAAATACATGGCAGAATTGGCATTTGAATCTAGAATATCAGACTTCTCCTTGAGAGGGTTGTTGCGGAAAATCAGCAAGGCTCCTGGCAGGATTTTTGATAAATGGCAGCTATGGCAGACGGGAAAGGAACTAGGGTGACACCTTAGGAAAGAATCATCAGAGGGGCCGAGAGGTCTGAGGAGCTGAGCCTGGGCAGCACATAGCACCGGGCAGTCCCTGGGGACCTTGGCAAGGGCTGCCAGTGCACAGTGATCTAGGAGGCGGTGGGTGCAAGGGCTGAGGAGCCCGTGGAAGAGAGAAGGGGGCAGGCGGGCAACTCTGCTGGATGTGCGGCTGCTCCGTGATGCAGGAGAGGCTTAGATGGCAGGTGCTGGAGTGAGGAGGGCCTCCCTCAGTGCTGGAGCTTTGGGTTCACGTTTGGGTTCACACTGATGACACTGAGAGGGCTGAGTGGGAGAGGATGGGGCAGTGGTGGCAAATGGAGTGAGAAGTTGCAGCGCAGACCTGAGCAGAGGACAGCTGCTTCCCCCAGAGGTGGGAGGAAGGAGCAGAGGCCAGGGGAAGCGAGGAAAGTTCGTCCACCTTGCCTTCTGGTGGGTCGTAGGTAAGGACTGGGTTCACCTGCCCATGTGCAGAAGGTAAGAAGAGCCCTGGGCTGCTCCAGCCCTCCAGTTTGGAGTCTCTCTTCTTCCCTCTCTCCTCCAGAGCTTTCTCTCAGCTTCCCTCACAGCTGCAGGGACCCAAGGAAATCATAGATGGTTCTTAGCTCTGACTGGGGTTGCAGTGGAGATGCCCAGCGTGCATGTTCTGGGAACTCTAACAGTATAGAACCCTGAGGTTTCAGCAAAGCCAGAGAATCGGGAATATCAGAATGGTACTCACCTAACCCATTTCACAGATTAGGAAACTGAGGACTAGTGAAAAATAATAACTACTCCTTTGGAGAATGTTAGAGTATTAACATATTATATTCATTATTCATTTAATCCTTGCAAAAGGTCCTACAAAGTAGATATATTATCACCCATCCATCCATACACTCATTCATGGGGCTGTCTATCCAGCCATCCAAAAAGCATTTATTAAGCACCTACTGTATACCAGATATTACAGAAAGTAGTGGGGAATCAGCAAAACACAATACAGGCAGAGTTTCTGACAGCGTCTATGAGAGTGGTGCCATAAGACTAATGAAATTTCTAATCCCAGGTACTTGAGAAACTGAGGCAGGAGGATCACAAGTTAGAGCTCAACCTAGGCAATTTAGTGACTTAGCAAGCACTTGTCTCAAAAAAGTGAAAAGAGACCTTTGGGTTCAATCTCCAGTACTGAAACAGAACAACAGCATGGGGGAGCAGCGAGTGGAGGGAGAAATATATATATA